GTGAACAAGACCCCAAGATACTTGAACTCCTCCACTTGAGGCAGGAACTCTCCACCAACCTGAAGGGAACAAGCCACCCTTTTCCAACTGAGAACCATGGCCTCGGATTTGGAGGTGCTGATTCTCATCCCAGCCGCTTCACACTCGGCTGAAAACCGCCCCAGTGCACGCTGGAGGTCCTGGTTTGATGGAGTCAACAGGACAACGTCATCTGCAAAAAGCAGAGATGAGATCCTGTGGTCCCTAAACCGGACTCCCTCCGCCCCCTGGCTGCACCTAGAAATTTTGCTCATAAAGATAGTGAACAAAACCGGTGACAAAGGGCAGCCCTGCCGGAGTCCAACATGCACTGGAAACAAGTCTGACTTACTGCTGGCAATGCAAACCAAGCTCCTGCTCCGGTTGTACAGGGACAGCCCGCTTGGCCTGCCGGTACCCGTCAGCTGTCTCAGGAGTCCCACGAGCCAACCAGGCCCAAAAAGACTCCTCCTTCAGCTTGACTTTAAAAATGAATATAGCAAACCTATTGGCAAACAGCTTCTTATTTACACATCCTGCAGTTACAGAACAACATTATTATTCATTTGGAGTCATGTCTCTGGACATCTGATAAATGAAAGCCCATTATTCATTCTTTTACCTTAATTTTGATTAGCATGCATGTTCAATAGCTAGATTCTAAAAATGCATTCACAAATGTGGTTACAAAGAAGCTGGCTGTTTGGTGAATATGTAGTGCTAGGGTGTTTATTCTACTCCTTTTACAGTTAGGTCATGTGCTCCCTGGGTTTTCTGTTGTTTTATCCCTCTATGTTAGGTATTTTTAGTCAGATAGACATTGGTTAGATATTTTATGTATTAGAAATGTTTAGAGTAGACAGGATGTCTAGCTCAGGCTGTTAAATGCTTAGTCATTCTTAAGGGTACTTCAGGTTGTTCAGGTTCAAGGATAACTAGACAGAAAGTTGATTATTGTTAGGAGACAGAATGTTTAATATTATTGTTATGACATGGTGAACCATAATCGTAGTCATAATATTTTCTTATGCTTAATGTCATGTCAGAATGTTTTAGCTACACACCACATAATCAACAGACATTCACACATTGATTTTCTTCATGCTTTGACTACCGCTCTGGCCAGCTGCAAAGCTGGCACCAGGAGGCGTCACGGTTTGGCGTCCCTGTAGTATGGGGTTAGCCCGAGGTGATATAATGTATAGGCCTGTTATGGTTCAGGGCTTTTCATCTTTCAGTTTCCTAAATTTTCATTGACACATATTTAGACTAGCTTTAAAGGATATGTATTTTTAAAGTTGGTCTCAAAACAGTATTAATGTGTCCAAATGCATGGGAGAATACAGTAGGTCTTGGTCATTCTACCATTACTTACTGTCCACACCAACCTTGAAGCTTTTCACCTGGACTATGCTATAAAAAAATGGGGTTAAATACACAGTTCTCCTTTGGCACAAAAATGCACTCCAAACTTTGTATGATGCTCAAATGAAGATTCATCTGCCCCCTAAGCTAATTCAAGTAGTAGACTGAATAATGGGAGGAACTAGGAGAGTCGGAGGACCAGGATGGACAGGTGAAAAAGCAGTAACCAGGTGGGTAAGCTACGCTGTTAGGGAAGCAGAGTAGCATACGGAAAAGAAAACAAGAAGTCAACAGCACAGGAACTGTCAGTGTTGAAATCAAGTTGTGTACAGTGAAACACGAGTATACAACGTAATGAAAAATAATCATCCACACTGTGTGCTACAACCAACGAGTCACTGATTACCAAATATGACACAGCTGAGGCACTGATCCTGCAGGAACGAGAGAGGAAAAAGAAGGAAGAGAGGCAGGCCGCGTCAAGCGGACCTGACAGCGCTATAATCAACAGACATTCACACATTGATTTTCTTCATGCTTTGACTACCGCTCTGGCCAGCTGCAAAGCTGGCACCAGGAGGCGTCACGGTTTGGCGTCCCTGTAGTATGGGGTTAGCCCGAGGTGATATAATGTATAGGCCTGTTATGGTTTGGGGCTTTTTTCATCTTTCAGCTGCCTGCGTGCATGTTGGAGGTACAAAGACTCCTGAGCGTGTAATGTAAATTTTTACCTGTGTTCAGTGAATAAATCAGCACTGTTTTGAAGTTACTTGGACTGCCTCGTCTCTGAGTTAATGGTGAAAAGAACTGGGTATCCAACACTTTACCTGTCATTATCCCAGGTAGTCACTATCACATTCACCTGCCGCTCATTACCTCTCGGTTCAGTTCCCCATAAATACATGCCCTTTTCTGCCATTTCCCTGCTGATCAGTAATTGTACACCACCTGTATGTCTCTGTACTGCTAGAATTCAGCTTCAGCTCCTGTAACCACTTTCTCTGTGACTTACCTGTGCACCTGGTCCCCAGTGCCAGTTTTCCTGTATATGCTATCGACTTGGTTTCTGCAGTTAGAGTGGGGTATGTCTCGTCTGGCTCTCAGCGCTTTGTCTTGAAGTGTCACCACTCCCTGCTCTGTGGGATCTTCTCCATAGGCTGAAACAACTTAGAAAAAATGAACTGGACTAGATTTCTAGGTCAAAGATGTTTCACCTTTCATCCAAGAGGCTTCCATCAGTTCTGACTGACTGGTGTTGAGCCGGAGATATTTATCCTCCTCGGTGGTGTTTCAGTCCTAGTGGTAGACTAAGCCACAACTTGTCTTCCATCTACAATCCTGTTTTGAGATCTCTGCCCAAACATGCCCACCAGGACAATAGATGTCAGTTAGATGGGAGGATTCAAAGACAGGTAACAATAGACGGGAGGATTCAAAGACAGGTAACGACACTCACCGATACTGGGCTATAACGACTAAGTCGTTAGGAGACATTGTTGGCCCTCAAAGGACTGAAACACCACTGATCTAAAATCCTTGCCGTTTCTCAACCTTTCATCTCCTACAGTTGAATCCAGCAAGTACTACCCACTGCATTCTGCCCATATATTAAGATGGCATTCTCTAATGCACCACCTGGCTACTGTTTAATTCATTTCTTCTCTGGTACCTACAATAAGCTTCACTTTACATGTCTACTCTCAGAGTGCATGTCAGTATATAGGGTCCAAATGCTTCAGACCTTAGCAACTCCAACTGTACTGTTATCTGCACTTTGTTTCATTTATTTTTTTACGTCTTGGTAACTCATTAAAGATGTTTCATAGAGAAATGGGAAGCCATTGCAATGATTTTCTTCCATTTTGCTTAAATTTCCTTCACCTGGTAGAGTGTGGTAGTAAACTGTGCTTCTGTTTGTGGAAACAAGATTGTGATTAGCCCTCACCTGCCTGTTGCTATTTGCATTTCAGCATTCCTCAACTTTCCTATGCTACACAGTGTAGCTAGGTGCTTTTTGAATCTGCTGAGTTCCACAGGAGGTACAGGACTACAAATCCAGATGAATGACGGCTGTTGCTGGCCTAGCTATTTGAATCCATATGTGTGAACCTACATGCAAATACAGTATGTCTGTGCTGAGCAGGTAGTGGAGTTTTTTTTTTTTTTTTTCTCTTCAAGCTTTTTCACTGATAGGAGATGAGTGCTGTGCCAACAAAAAAAGCTGTGAAAGTGTGAACCAAAACAAAGTTGCAGTCTGAGCAATGACCTGAAACCATGTATATGGACACCCTGACGGCTCCCAGAAGTGAAACTACTGTGACTTGATCTCTCCCTGGTGGCTGGTTGCAATATAGGTCATAAACCCTACCCCCTCCAAGTTTGTGGATGGGACATAAGCCAAGCTAAAATTTCAAAGCACAAATCAAATACATTTTTCCCAGAGGTGATTTGTTATTTCTGGTAGATATTGTTACGTGAATGGCGTAGAACATGTGTGAATAACCGGTGAGCAGTCTGTACGTATGGTGTGTGTGTGTGTGGCTGGAGGTGTGGTTGAGGGACAGCGTGTGACGTATGGGCGTAGTAGATGAGAGGTCAGTATGAGTGGGTTGGAGAGAGTAAACGAAGTGTGAAAAGACAGACAGTGGAATTCAACCGGAGTGGGCGATATTGTTCATGTTGAGGGAAAATGACAATAAAAAGTCCGGTTTCCAAGGAAGTTGCC